CATATGCTGTTAATATTTATTTGCTTGTTGTGCTATCAGGCCCTTTTTGCTTTGTGCTATCCTACTGTGCTAGAGCTGTTATTTTTGGTCCTTGAATTCAGGCATTTCCAAAGGGTTGGTCCTAGGAGTGGGATTGGATCATTGGGTTACAGCGTATGCCAATAGGCTGAACTAGTTTATAACGCCCATCTCCTGTTTGTTGTTTAACCTTCCCTATTCTGTGCTTAGGTGGTTTTTAAAGTTTATGCAGACCTTTACTAGGTGTTCCTGGGTAGTGATTAGGCCCAAAGTCCTCTCTTCATCAGTTTATTGGCAAATACACTTAGTTTAATGTGATGTGAGCACCTGAGTTTACTCTCCAAATGAAAGTGGGCCAGAGGTCTGTTTTGAGAGCTGCTTGGCTAAGAGGAAAGCACCACAGAAATGGAGTTCTTTGCTTCTTAGCTTAAGTCTGGATTTTAGAGAAGTCATTCTTTTGTGGACCTCAATTTACTCGCCAGTAAAGTATGGGCTGGACTAGATAATCCAATAGCCAGGGAGTTGGCAAACTTTTTCTTCAGGCACTGGATAATAGTAAATATTTTAGGTTTCTCAGGCCAACTCAGAATAGTGGTGCTGGTGCTGTCATCCTTGTTGTTACTTAGCTATGCCCTTGTAGCATAAAAGCAGCCACAGACAGTAAGTAAACAAATGAGCTGGACTGCATTCTAATATAAAACTTTATTTATAAAAACAAGCTGTGAGTTGTCATTCTTTTCTGATCCCCCTTTTGGGCACTTAACATTAATCTGATTTAGATAATTAGGATAAGAAAAAAATTTTGACTTCTTAAAATAATACTTCTGGAAATCTAGTAAAATTAAATTTTATTTTATTTATTTTATTTTTTATTTTTTGAGACAGAGTCTCATTTTGTCGCCCTCAGTAGAGTGCGGTGGTGTACGACTCACAGCAACCTCAAACTCTTAGGCTTAAGAGATTTTATTGCCTCAGCCTTCCAATAGTCAGGAGTGTAGTGGCCACCTGTAACTAGGGCTACAGGGGGCTGCCACAATTCCTGACTATTTTTTGGTTGCAGTTGTCATTGTTTAGCTGGCCCAGGCTGGGTTTGAACCCACCAACTTTGGTGTATGTGGCTGGCGCTGTAACCACTGTGCTCCGGGTGCTGAGCCCCTCTTTGAGTTTTTTTTTGGCCAAGGCTGGGTGTGAACCCACCACATCCGGTATATGGGGCCGGCGCCCTACTCCTTGAGCCACAGGTGCTGCCCAGTCTTAGCATCTTTTAAAATGATCACAGTTTTTCTCTTATGTGCCACATATAGTATGATATGTGTATATTTATAGAATTAATTAGATCTAAAAATATTGCCCCATCCTTAGATTCCTGCAGTGAACTTCTCTTGATCATGATATATTTTTTCATATACTGCTTGATTTTTTATTTTTAAAAACATTTTTTTTATAAGACAGAGTCTCACTTTGTCACCCTGGGTTGAGTGCCATGGCATCATAGTTCACAGCGACCTCCAACTTCTGGGCTTAGGTGATTCTGTTGCCTCAGCCTCCCAAGTAGCTGGGACCACAGGTGCCCGCCACAATGCC